GTGGGGTCTTGAGGTCCCCCAGAATTTCAAGTGATCTCCAGACTACACAGATCAGTTCCCTGGAGAAAATGGCAGTTCTGGAGTAATAATTCTATGGCATTACGTCACTGATGATGCCCCCTCCTTCCCCTAGACTCCATCCACCCTCCACCCCCCAAAAAAAACCCCTCCAGGAATCTCCTAACCCATTGTTGGCAAATGTTACTGATAGTATTTAGAACTCTGAGGCCTAGCACAGAAGGCAATCCCAAGCCTCTGCTGTAAACATAAAACGCTGCCAAAAACAGAGGGGAATTCTTTTCTCTCTCTCCACTTGTTACACATGACTTAAAGAAAAATGGTGCATTCCATAAGTTCAAGGTTGAATCCAGCGGCCTAGGCTTCCCAAGTCCCCCCGGGGGGCGGGGAAACCCCTGCCCCAGAGGCCCGTTCCCCGCCGCCACATCAGGCCCCGGGGGGAACTCCTCCCCAACGTGTGCGTCACCCGGAAGTGACGCAACCACGCCGGGCACGCTGGGGGCGGGGCCACGGCCATCCGAGGGAAAACTCTATGGTTTCCCCTCGTATGGCCGTGGCCCTGCCCCCAGCGTGCCTGGCGTCGTCATGTCACCTCTGGGTGATGTGCGTGCGGTGCGCGTGCGTTTCGTGCGCACGCACACCAGACGCCGGCCGGGAGCCCCCTGCTCCCGGCGAACATCGACTTGGCAACCCTAATCCAGCCTCTCTTTCCATCAGTGGAAGGGTGTGGGTTTTCATTGATTTGTTCTCACTACAGACCTCCAGTTCATCCCTCAAGCCATTTCTGAGGAGGACCCCCCATTTCCTCAAGAGCAGCATTCCAGTGGGGCTCAGGGGGCAGCTGTGGAGAGGAGAGGTCGGGAAATTTGGCTGTGCTGCTGACCAAAGTGCCTTCCGTTTGCCCACAGTGTCAAAAGAATCAGTCTTCAGAATCTAATATCTCATCATTAGTTATTTTTGACACTTGTGTGTGAAAGGCCATTGCCTGCAGGGTTGCTGTAACCTCCACGCGGGGCCTGGAGTTCTCCTGGAATTACAGCTGATCTCCAGACTTACAGAGGTCAGTTCCCCTGGAGGAAATGATAGCTTTGGAAGGTGGACTCTACGGCATTATACCCTACTGAGCACCCTTCCCTCCTCAAACTCTGCCTTCCTCAGGCACCGCTCTAGGAATCTCCTAAGCCAGTGCTGCAAATCTATTCCGTAGCTAAATGCAACTAGTAATAATAATAAATAATAAATCTTTCAATTTATTAATCGCTCAATCCTGCAGAGCTTGCTGGCTCTGAGCGATTTACAGTTACTCCATTACACACGGGACTAACAATGATTCAAGGGGTAAGGGAGGACAACATATAATCTTTAAATCACACACGTTCGCAGTCGACGGGGAGTTTTGTTCAGCTGTAAGGTCAGACGTGTTCCAACGGCATTTTCCCCTCGGCATCGCTTGATGTCGTCAGCTTTCTCCGGCCTGCTTCAAGTCGCAGCGCAGCACCTCCACCGCCTGGCCGGACGGCCCATTACAGGCTTCCTTGATGCTGAAGAGTTCTTTCTAGGCTTTTCGGTCTTACGCGCTGGACATTCCATTCGTCGGCTAACACCTCCCCCACTGGGGGGGGTTAGTGTGCCCACCCTCTCTAAGGAGTGGTACCAATTTTATCTACTCGCCGAAGCTTTCAAACAGCTGGGTGGACGACGAGCTGGGGACAAGGCTGGTAGCTCACACCAGCACGGGGCTAGAACTGACAGCAGCTCTGTTCAGCTCAGATGTATTAACCAGAGGATAAATCCCCTGTGCCACCACTAGAGTGACTTCTAGGTTCAAGCCCAAATAGCACCTTAGAGACCGCAACATTTTCAGGTTAGAAGCTTTCAAGAGTCAAAGCTCCCTTCATCAGACAAGAGCAGAGTAGAAAGGGAGATCTCTGTCTTTTATCCTAGTCAGAAGGTGGGAGCGGTGTTGTAAAGAATGCTTGTAAAGGATGCAAAGGTACAATGCATATTGTAATCAGCTGGTTTACAGCAGAGGGGAAATGCCTGGGGAACAGGAAATTAGCATCTGTAGTGAGATAAGAATAGTTGGTCCCTGCTCAGCTCTAGAGAGGTCCGTTGTTCTGAACTTGTGAATGAATTCAGGTTCAGCAACCTTGTCTTGTAGGAGTAATGGTGATTCGCACAACCCAAAGTCCTCACGGTCACCACAAGGACTTTGTGCAAGGTGAGTGTCTGGATTTCTGTGCTTCTCAGACACATACAGACCCCCATTCCAATGGATACCAGGAAGTACCCAGGAAGAAGCAGCTGCAGACTTCTTCGCTGCAGTCTTTTCACATCCTGAAATGACCCTGGGGGTACTGTTGTTGGGACCCTGGCTCTGTGAAGAAACACATTTTGTCCTGGGAGGTTTGAAATGAGCAAAACCTCTACTCTGAGTGTTTTAAAGTGTTTTTTTCCTTCTCTCTGGGCAGAGCGTAGCCAGGAAGGGGGAAGTCAGTCCAACTGCTTTCCAGCTTATCTTTATACATATGCTAATAGCTGTATTGGGAGAGACAACGTGATGGTCTCTCCCCCCACGTTCAAGCAGGAAATAGAGGTGTGGAGGACTTTAAACTAGACGGGCACCAGGAATAATCTCCAGGAAGCATTTCTTTGACCTGGCATGACCTGGTCAGTGGGAGGGGGAACAGATATGCAGGAGGAAGGAGCTCTCTTTTTCCTTGGGTGCTACGTCCAAGAGCATAGGCAGACCTCTCCCTTGGGAAGGCAGACATTGACCAGGTGCTCGCCTCAAGACCTGGAGCAAGCTTCAAAGTAACAAAAACTCTATAAGGGATCTGTCACATGATCAGCTAAAGGGATCTGTCCTATTTTAACATCTGATAGGGCATGTATAGTGACAGGGACAGAAGATTTATATTTTACCAATTTCTTTTGGTTCCTTTGCTCAGTTTGGTGCTGTGCTAAAAAAGTATGGTCGTAAACACTTTCTTTTTAATACATACTTTATAACTTTGGGTGCTGGGAGTGGTTCTCTGTACCACACAGACCTCCACCATCTTGGACATACTATTTTAAAAGGAATACCGGGGGTGAGGAGGGCAGGCAGTTGTCAAGCGGCTAGACCTCCAGTGGCACACAAGGCAGTAAACTGTCCCCATGGTGACGAGGATCTGGCAGGAGGAGACACAGAGGCAAGGCCTCAGAACTTGGAAGAGAAGCTGGGAGTCCTGACCCTCCCAGGGGATAATCCCTGAAAAAGGTCAGGTGGTGGTGGTTACCAGAAATAAAGAAAGACCCAGGAGGGCAGGGCATAAATGGGGCCTGCAGGCCAGAGCAGGCACGTTCTGCTACAGGCTCCCTAGGAAAAAATTCAGGATCTGAAAACAGCATGGGGCAGAAGGCTGGATTAAAGTTTACCAGGCACAAGACGGTCTAATTTAAGTGATTCTCGAAGGCACTACGTTTGGTTTAACCTTAGTTCAAACTACCCAGTGACAAAGCCAAGGATATCAGAGATTTATAGCACAGCAGCTACCATCACAGCAAACACAGCCTTTCTGCTACCATCACAACTTGTTTTTTTACTGCTGCAGTACTGATTTTAGCCCGGGACGATGTCAGCTAGTTAAATGAGTAGCAATCAATGTGAGAATCAGCACAGTCCTTGCGTGACTTACAAGAGTCAGGTTTGCTATTTCATGTGCCTTAGGAACAAGACCATCCATCTAGAGGGAGCCCCAATAAGTGACTTCAGCACTAAGGAGCAATATAGGGAGTGGTGGCAGAGCAGATAGGCTATAAAGCAGCATGCCAGAGGGTCCAAAATTAGGATACTGTAAGAGTGTTAAGACTCCCCCCCCCATTCTCTCTTATGTTTACTGTACCACTGCTTATTCTTAGCCACTAAGAAAACAAACAGTAGTAGATCAAAGTGTCATAAGGCATCCTTGTATATTCTTGGACCCCTCACTGCAAATCTTAGTCAAAGCACAACCAGAGCAGCCAAACAAGCTATTCCAAATAAAACACGTACAGCAAAGTTACAAGCAATTTGTCACAGCATCTTGCATTAAAATGCCTAGTAATTATACTGGAGTTTCAACAGGTCTTCAACCAATGCTCCCTCTAAGATGTGGAGTCTTGTGAGCAAAAATTCTACTTTGTGAGTTACTGGCATTAAAGTTGTGAGTGAGTGATTTGGCTACTGCATAAATTAGTTTGCTCTGGAGCCCTCCTTCCTGAGCTAGGAAAAAAATCTGTGAGCCAGAGGCTAAAAAACTGTGAGCTAGCTCACAATAACTCAGCCTGTAGGAAACACTGCTCCTGCGTATATAAAAAAAGTACCAACTGAAAGCTTTATGTAAGACAGGGTTCCCCAACATTTTTGAGCCAGTGGACACCTTTGGAATTCTGACACAGGTGACAGGGTGGCTGGCACAGCCACAAAACGGCTGCCATGGGAGGCAAAGCCAGCCAGAAAACGGCTCTTGCAACTTCATTTCAGGCACACAGTGAAGATCCTTGGGGCTTTGGTGGAAGTTGCTGACAAAGCAACATGTTTAAAAATCTGCCTTGTGGGTCAAAAGCCTCACCTAGCCCTGTCCACTTTTAAAAAACACTTGGTCGGCTCCAGGAAAGGTGCTGGCAAGTACCACGCTGGGGACCCTGGCATCTATATACTAATAGCAAAGTCAGCCAAATCTGAGGATACTTAAATCTGGTGACTGGAACTGTGAACGGGCAATACAGATCTTTCGACAAACCTGAAAAGGGCTCCAGGTTTGCAGAAAAATGTGAAATCTAAAACAAAAACATGGCGGGATTCAAATACCAGAAAATGACATAAGAAGCACCTGTAGCTTTAAGCAATGGATTCCCTCACTAGCTGCTGCTAGTAAGATATTATTAGCACCCACTCTTCACTGGAATACATTAAGTGATATAGTTTGGTGAAGAGTACTCTCTCTTTAAAAACTTACCTCTTTCTCCTGGAGGTCCCACTCTTCCTGGGCGGCCCGGTGCTCCTTTCTCCCCCTTTTCTCCAGCTTCCCCTATTTTATTGAGAAAAACAAAATAAAATTCTCTGTTCAGATATGCATACCCATGTGTAGTGAGTATTATGATCGGCACCACCATCGCTAACTCTGTCCTTTCAGAAGTGCATACATCTCAAAACGTAAGAAGAGGGTCCATAACGGCCAGCATTCAGAGATGCTTTTGCTCCTCACAAGGAGACCAGAAATGGCAGCCTCTCTTTATTTGCTCTCTACATTCAGAATTTAGAAATTTGGTGCTTATTTACTTCATTTATACCCCACCTTTCTCCCCCATGGGGCCCAAAGCAGCTTACAGCATTTTCTTCTCCTCCATTTTATCCTCACAACAACCCTCTGAGGTAGGTTAGGATGAGAATGTGCGGCCAAAGGTCACCCAGCAATCTTCATTGGCAGAGTGGGGATTTGAACCTGGGTCTCTGAAACTCTAACCACTACATTACACTGGCTTTCATGGGGTAGTTGCTATTGAATAGTAGTAAGCAGCCAGGCTTAGGTGAGTCATTCAAGACTGGTAGTACAATGTCATCAAGTTGCCACACCTGGCCTGAATGACTCATTTCTCAAGGGCCAAAATAACCCTAGAAAGCCCCCTCCCCACCTTTTACTGGCATAGGGTTGCCAGGTCCCCTCGTTGCTCTGGCGGGGGGATTTGGGGGCGTTCCATGGGTGGACAGGGATGCCCCCAAGCCACGCCCCCCAAGAGCGACCACCCTTCTCCCTCCCTCCCTGCTACCCCCTCCTTCTCCTACTGTGAGATTTAAAGGAGTTCAGCCGATCGGCGGGGAGCACGTGGCCCACCGATCAGCTGGAGGGCCCGTTAAATATGGCAGGAAGGAAGAAGGGCTGTCACCTTTAAAGACCTTTAAAGGGTCTTTTTTGCAAGTGGGGTGGGGGCAGTGGCACATGGGCTGATTGCCCAGTGGTGATTCGCTGCTTGGGATTCAGGTATGCGTGCTGCTGCCCTGCTTGCTCCAAATGGGGCGGCAGCATGCACGGCTGGCTGCAAGCAGGGCTCACAGTGAGTGGGGCAGCGGCATGTGCACCTGAATCCCAAGCAGCAAATTGCCACTGGGAAATCAGCCCCATGTGCCGCACCCCCCACCAATTAGATGAAGCCCTTTAAATCTCACAGGAGGAGAGGGAGAGGGGTAGCCACAGGTGGTTGCTCTTGGGGGCAGGGCTGTCCCTTGCCGACCAGCTGGCCAGGGGCAGACTGGAGCCCCCAAAAATGGGGACCCCCCCCGACCTGGGGGCTGGCAACCCTACACCAAGGCTTGAAGGTGGGCAACACTATTGTGGTTTCCTAGCAATAGCCACTGGGCTGACAATTGTTTCTTAAAGCGACATGTGCTGCTTCTATTACTGGAGGGTTTTCCCCTAATGTCCTTTGTTAGATTTCAGAACTTTCTGCAAACCTAGCTCTTTTCTCATGTCAGAAAGATCAGCCTTGTCTGTACATGTCCCCATTCTCCTAGGTGCTAGTGCCACACAAAAGAGAAAGTTTCCACTTTCCATTATCTCAATAACATTCAGAAACCTGTCTCTATTCTACTGGTTGTAAAGAGTGATTTTAAGTGCACTGAGTCTTCCCCTGACCAAATAATGACAAAGGAAGATTTATTATTTTTGTGTCTTACCAACATTAACCTAACCACAGATTAATTTTGAGTGGCTACTATTTCCATAGTGACATTAACCTATGGTTGTATTTGTGCAAGGTATCCCTGCGAACAAATGAAGCTTTCTTTTTTCTTTTTCTTTCATGCTGGTATCCCAAAGTTCCGTGAGAGAACGAATGCTAACCAGCTTCCTATTGAAACAGTGTGAGTGGAATGTCAGAGTGGTTATTTGCTAATTTTCTTCTATAAGGATTTCAGTAGGTTTGCTGGAATAGGGGAAATGTTTATTGTTGCCTTTAACAGGAGTTGATTAACTATTTTTCATGTTTTATTGTACTGTACAATTTATGTTGCAAACAGTGTTCCCTCTAAGCTGAGTTAGTGTGAGCTAGCTCACAGTTTTTTAGCCTCTGGCTCACACATTTTTATCTTAGCTCAGGAAGGAGGGCTCCAGAGCAAACTAATTTATGCAGTAGCCAAATCACTCGCTCACAACTTTAATGCCAGTAGCTCACAAAGTAGAATTTTGGCTCACAAGACTCCACAGCTTAGAGGGAACATTGGTTGTAAGTGATGTGCTGTAATAAACTTGCATGAATTTAAAATGTTAGTAATATCAGCTGACAACTTGACATGTGTGCTGATGCCTCCTCCCACTATACATGCCCTAACAGTAGTGGAATCAGGACCATATTCAATATGTTAGTAGAAAATTAGTTATGTGGGAAAACACTTCTTGGCTGTGAAGACCAGGTACTTTGCATTTGTTCAATAATCTCAGCTTTTGAATTTTACAGTTTATAAATTTTTAAAAATGAAGGAGAGATTTCTCCACAGAAAAAAGATTAAAATTATAATTAGGAGTAGGTCTCTACCCTAATCTACGTACACCCTGTAATGCAAGCATGGGAAGAGAACAGAGGGGAGAGGAAGGATCAGGAAAAGAATGGCTACGAGAAGAGCACAAACATATGCTGACACAAGCAGTTTGGTTCTAGGGCTCCCAACAGTGTGTTGGCAAATGCTCTAGGCTGGGTCCCTATGGTCACCACTGAGACTATGGGAAAATCCTAGAGCCGCCCTGAGCCTGTTTCCGGGGAGGGCGGGGTACAAATTGAAATAATAATAATGATAATGATAATGATAATGATAATGATAATAATAATAATAATAATAATAATGATAATGATAATAATAATAATAACAACAACAACAACAATAACAACAACAACAATAATAATAATAATGACAATAACAACAATAATGATGACAATAACAATAACAACAATAATAGAGTAGCACTATGCTGAGGCCTTTTTTCCCTCAAGCTCAATTCCTTGGGGATGGGAAATCCGGGCTTGAGGCTGGTAATTCCCCATCCCAGGTGGGTAAATGGGGACTACTTTCTGTGCTTGTGCTCTGTGAATCTGTCTAGATACACAAATGCATTATTTCAAACTACTTGAATAGTGCCTCTTCTTCTCAAAGCTGACATGCGTATGAGGGTCAGAAACTGGGTTGCCAAACTGAGCCTGGAAACCAGCAGGAGGGTGGAGGAGGTGGGGACATGTGGGGGGGGGGCGTGATGTTGGTGACATCACTATGTCACTTCCAGGTACAACACTAGGAACTGCCAGAAGCTCTAAAGTAAAACAATAGAGTATCCGGTGATTCCTAGAGACACCCATTGACTTGGGTTGTCCCCAGAAGTGATGTACCAGCACAGAGGCCAGTGGCAGTTTTAAAAAAAATTTTACAGTGGCCAGCGACAGAGATGATCAGCAGGAGCCCTGGCAACCCTAAGAACAAAACTCTTATTTTGACTTGCCTGTTTTTTGTTTGTTCATTTGTTTTGTTTTCCTCTTCCATTTTTTACATAGAACTTGGAACTCAAAAGCTGCGGTAAACTTAACAAATGGCTGCGATACACAAAGAAAATAAAAGTGCTCCCCCACTGAACTCATTTGTAATTAACATGTAGCAATTGTGCTGAAAACACTTGCCCTCAGAGCTGGATTGGGGTATTATAAATCATTGCAGGTGCCAATATTTAACACAAAGAAGCATCATTTGTTGAACATAAATACCAATGGACTATTAACCTTTCATTACAAACACGTAGCTACAGATTACAGCTCACAGCAAAAAAAAAAAGCCTGAACAATTAAGAGGGAATGGAAATTAACAGCTAAGGGTTCCTCAGAACCTGATGACCTTTTAGGAAGGGTGAAAGACCAAAGAGGGGTTGTAGAACTTTCTGTTCCAAATAACAAGCCACTCCATCCAACAAACTTGTTTTTGTTGTGGGTCACTCGGTCTAGCAATGTTGTTGACCCCCAGGGAGACATTCAGACACACCACAGAACAATACTGTGGCCCCTGCCACACGCAGGGGAAAAGGCGCTTGAAGGCGCGGCTTTTAAAAGCCGCGCCAATCTCACGGATCCCCCGGCCGCGCCGCCTTTTCTCCCCGGCGCGATCAAACGCCGGGGAGAAAACACGCCCTACCCGGGGGCCGGCCGAACTGCGCATGTCCGGGCATGCGCAGTTCGGATCCGGGCCGGGGTTGAGCCGGCGCAGGGAAGCGGCGGCGATCAAACGCCCCGGTTGCCGCACTGCTTCCCTTTAAACCACCTAGATAGGTGGTTTAGTTTGGCGCAGCTTATCCCGGGAAAGGGACAGTTCGGCCACGGAAGCAAGACGCTTCCCAGATGTGGTGGTGTGATCGCTCCGGCCCCGAACTGTCCCGCTCCCGGACCAAATAGCCGCGTGTCAACGGGACCTGTGATTAACAAAACTTGAAAGAGCATCTGCATTTACCCATGGTTTCAGTTTGATTTTTAAAAACCCTTACGGATCGAGGTGGGTAGCCATGTTGCTCTGAAGGTGGCGCTTTGTTCAAAAACCCTCGCGGTAAGTTTATTCAGATGTGCTCACCATACCCATGATCAATCACAAACAAACAAAAGACAAATAACACCTCAAGTCAGTACAGAATGCAGCAGTGGAGAACTCTGGAGATAAAACCTTCTTGTATGGGAATATATAAGGAATGCACTACTTTAGGTAAAGCATACCTGAACAAAAAGGGAAGAAGAGGTGCCCTCAGTAATAAGTGCAGCTGGAGCTGACATTGCTGCCTTTCACTGAATGTAGCCTCAGTCACACAAAGGCCCTGAAGTGTGAGATGGTCCCCTTGTTAAATTATGCTATATGCCTTGGTCAGAAGCACCTCAGTGACAGTTCCCAGCAGAAGACATATGATTGCTCTGAAGTACCAAGACTCAAGTCTGCACAGAAATTAAGGACATGAGCTGGATTCCAGCCAACAGATGAAAGACTAAATCTCATTAGCATTCTTCTAAACTAGCTGGCTAGCCCCCTGGCAATTTAGATCAGGCACTGATGGCTTTTTAGAGATTTTACATTAGCTTCGGCCTTCACAGGCCATTTTGTGCATCACTGAATTTGTTCATCAATCTCCCTCACCATTATGATTATAGCTTCTAATTAGGCAGGATATGCAGAAACATGAACAGATTTGGGATTCCCCCTCCCTTCAGGCTTCCATCTTTTTATATCTGTGTTCCTGATTACTTGATAAAGATGAGATTATTGCCGTAACTCATAAAACAGGAAGTATGTGGTGATATACATCATTCTTAGCATTATATGGCATATTCTATCAGAGGATTCCTCCCTACCCAAAATATAAGCTTCCTGCTCAAACTGTACGAGACGAGGCTGTGTACTTTATCTAGATTGGACTGTTTCGGTTTAACAAATGAGTAAACTAAGAAATTGTTATTCCACAAAGTCAAAAAAGCCATCAATGGAGTAAGATTAATGCCCCCATCTGTCTACTGGGTTCTCCAACCAATCACCAGTTTCTTCCCTTAAGTATGACCTATGTTAAGTCTAGTTATAAAAAAGAGGGCCAATATACCTCTGCTGCTCATTTTCCCTTCTAAGCACCACAACACCTCTTTGACTATTCTATCAAGTTCACACATTACCCTTGGAAGATTTCGCCCACAGGTTAGCCGACAGCATAGGAAATATATCACAACCACTTTGGACTGACACTTAAAGGCATCACAAGCAGGTCATACCACCTGTCATTAGGCAATAAGGACAGACTACAGATTTTGATGGCAGACTATTCACCCCAGTGCCCCTATGTGAGTTGACAGAGGTAGTCTCATATTTGGTATTGATGACCCCTCCCCCAGGATGTTAAGTCATGGGATTCAACATCCATGTCAAAGCAGCCCTGGTCATGGCTGCCATCTGGTAGATGGTTAAGAGATTATTTGCTCTACACACTCAACAGTTCACGTGTTAGATTTGGTGTTTTATTCCAGGCAGGGTAATGCTAACCTGAGTATGGGGAAGATGCCATCACTGCCTCTGTCACAATCAAGAAGTCTAGGGAGGTTTCGGTTGGCCTAGCTCTTGGGACTCCACACGAGTCTACAGAGCACCAGTTAGGCTAGACTGCCTTCAGAGACTGATGATGCTTTCCCGATGGCTCTTAGAGAGTCTCCAACACAGGTGGTGATCTTGTTGACATCCTGGTGAGTCTCTGGAACACAGACTCAAAAGAATGTAGAAACATAAATGCTCCTAGATATTATCTCCTCCCTTAACTAGTGCTAAATCTGCTTTCAGATATGCCAGGGAACATGGGGAAATGAGGCAGAAGGAGAGATTACAAGGCAAATGAAAGAGGATTCAGGATGAATCCAACTGAACATCATTTAAAGCTCAGCTGAAAGCTGGTTCTATAGCAGTGGTGGCAAAGAAAAACAATACTCCACCACCACAGCTGTGTCTTTTCAGTGCCATTCAACAACTTTTGGCGGGAAGAAGGTTCAGAGGCTTCTTTTTACTGAGTATCAGGATGATGCCCACTGGAGGAATTGATAGCCCAGCAAGACTTTATCTAGCAGTTTGTAGGTAAATTTTATACATTCACTCAGATGCCAAATTAAAGACAGTGGATTGAATCCTACTATTCTCTTCAGCTAAGTTTTGATTCTGTGACTCCTGGAGAATAGTTGTAATCCCAAGAGAGCTCCAGCCACCATCGGTTCACTTCACAAATGGAACTTGGAACTGGTACCTGGATAATCATGCATGTTACATGCACTGAACGTATCACTAGAACTACTCAATGCATTTAAAGAAAAATCAAGTCTACACAAATTGTACAAGGATCTCCTGTAACTGGTCAACAGATACAACAGTTTCATATATTCATGTGTAAACTACAGTCATTCATGGAGAGTGGAGAAATGGCATATCCATATGCAGGGGAGAATTCAAAGGCTCCTTCCTCAGCATTCCATTCCTGATCCCATTTTTGGGGCCAAATTACGTATCTGGAATTCCAATCACAGAACTCCACCATTATGTTCATTCGTAAAGAATGAATAAGGAACTGGGAATAAGGAACCAACTTCAGCCTTGTGTCTGTATCCAGGCTGTTTACTAACTCCAAACACTAGTTCATGGTTTTCACTGCAGCACAGATATGCCAGAAGAGTTCTGCAGTGTCATTATAAAGGGAAACAGCTTTATTATGACACAAGCATTTGCCAGCATAAAACTATTTTATAATACGTGTGGTGTGCAGAGAGAAAGTAGTGGAGCTTATTCATAAAATTTCATTTTTCCAGTATTCAGAACAGTATACAATACTTAGACAACCAAATAAGTTACAAGCATAGCATAAAACTATGCTGAAATTAGACATTTTCAGATGCTGATTTTTCCTGTTGGAAGCCTTTTTTAGAACATTTAACTTAGGAAGAACTGAGATGGCACTGAGAGTCGGGCCGATATTTAATGCACGGATTCACAAATTGCTTTTCAGTTCAAAAATCTTTCAAAGTGACTTACAAAAAAAGAACCTGAATTAACAGGCTGTTAAGATCCAGAATGTGGCTTAAGGAGCAAATACTAGAACAGCGCAGTGTTCGGTCTAAGTTCAACCCCCCCCACTCAGCCATTGATATTTGCTGGGTAACCTTGGGCCAGTCACATACTCTTAAGAACATAAGAGAAGCCATGTTGGATCAGGCCAGTGGCCCATCCAGTCCAACACTCTGTGTCACACAGTGGCCAAAACCCAGGTGCCATCAGGAGGTCCACCAGCAGGGCCAGAACACCAGAAGCCCTCCCACTGTTGCCCCCCAAACACCAAGAATACACAGCATCACTGCCCCAACCTGGTGTTCCATCTATACCTTGTGGCTAATAGCCACTGATGAATCTCTGCTCCATATGTTTATCCATTCCTCTCTTGAAGCTGTCTGTGCTTATAGCTGTCACCACTTCTTGCAGCAGTGAATTCCATGTGTTGAAGAAGTACTTCCTTTTATCTGTTCTCAGCTTACTGCTCATTAATTTCATGGAGTGCCCACGAATTCTTATATTGTGAGAAAGGGAGGAAAGTATTTCTCTCTCTACCTTCTCTACCCCATGCGTAATTTTGTAAACCTCTGTCATGTCACCCCTTAGCCTAACCTACCTCACAGCTCATTGTGAAGATAAAATAGGAAAGGGAGAACTACCAGTATGTATACCACTCCAAGGAAGGTTGTTATAGCACTACAAGAGATGGATTAAAAGTCTTACCTCTTCCTGGAATGTGGAGACAATTGGTCTATGTTTAAAAAACAGAAATTGTGAATAAAAATTTAACAGGGAAGCCCTGATGTCATGACTGTTTTCAAGCTAGTAATGCATACAGGATAGAATAGGGAGAAGGGAATGGGGAGTTCTGGGTACTGGCACTTTGTGATCATTTAAAAACCCTCCATTGTCCTATCTAAATTTTCAGTGGCTTTTTCAGTACCAGAACCCTGGATGCTTGACTTTTTGTAATACACCAACATTTAAAAAAACTAAGTTCACATCTGAGCAAGGACAAAACAACTAGGAATTGTTTGACCTACCCCAGCAAATAAGAGAGCAGTTGCAGAGAGGGGCTTACGTAGACACAGGGAAGGAAGGGATATAGCTGTTACCTTTGAGGCCTGGGACGAGAATCTGAACAGAGCAGGATTCTTCTGCAATATGCTGAGCATATCCAGATCTTGGCAGGGACAGGAAGGCAAGGCTAATTACAGAGACAAAGAAAACCAGATCACTCTTCATAATGAGTTTGTCCCTCACTCCTAAAGAAAAGAAGGAACATACAGTTAATGGGAATTGTAAAGACATCCAACAGGTTCAAAGAGCTGAGGTCTCCTAAAAAATCGACACAACCATGTACCCTTTTACCTTAAAGAGGCAGAGAAACAGAAAAGGTGTGTATGCCACGTGCACACAAATGATACATGTAGAAAGAATATGGAGTAGAGCTTCCATGGGATGTTGCCACTGGGTTGCATCTCACCTACAATCGGTGTTGAAAAGCCTAACTTCCTGTCTCCCCATCTCACTGCAGCCCGAAATGCTCCTCCTAGGGGATGGGGGGGGGCATGAACAACAGGAGGGTGGAACTGGAGGGCTGCCATGGCAGGGGAAGAAGAGGTGAACTCCTCCTCCCATGCGTGCATATCCTTCCCATGGGATCATTTGGTAGATTTTGAAGAAAAGCTATTCTCGCTTCAGAGTGTGGCTTTGCAAGGCCAAGGTACATTGTTCAAAGCCTGATTACTATAGCTAAGAGAAAAGGATGGATTTGTTTTGAAAAGCTCGTTTTTGTTTTTGGAACATGAACATAGCCTGGCACCCAATTTCCCATGGAATCATGGGATCAGCCTCCATCTATGCTATTTGGGTCATTTCAACATTTCCCACCAGGGGCTGGTCACAAGACAAGCAGTTCCACTGTAACTGGGAAAACATCTAAAGGGTGCTGTAGAATGCCTGGGAGTTGGAAACCCAAAAAGAGCAACTTGTGGTTCGGGCATTGCCTAGAAAGTGTTTATGCAACCAATTACGCTTTTGGCTTCTCCAGTCCAAAAAGATTGGCTCTGAACAAGGAAAATTCTCTTTCCACTGCTTAAGTCCCCTCTCTTCTTGTGAGGGATGAGAACAGGGGGATTTTCAGTGCTAACTTTCATCTTTTAAACAGAAGGCAAAATGTAAATCCAGTAGCATCTTTAAAACTATCGTTTATGCCAGGATGAGCTTTTGAGAGCCAAGGCTTGCTTCTTCAGACGCCCCGGCTCACAAAAGCCACCCACGCTGGAACAAATGTTATTAGTCTTCAAAGTGTCACAATGTCACACAAAGACTTCTGCTTTATTTTGCTACAATAGACTACCACAGCTACACCTTTAAAATTGTCTGAAAACAGCCAGTTCCCAATGTCTACAAAACATGTTCTTCAACATCTGTCTCTACCACAAAACCCTCAGTTCCTTCCATTCTTCACTTTTACTTCATCTTTTCAGTTCTCAGAACTTCTGTCCTAGCAGGGGCGGATCAGTCCTTTGCCTTTCTGGGAAAGTTTCTGGTGGGTGGCTGAAGCCCTCGAGAGCCAATGGCAGCCAGAAGCAAGCTGAGCCAGAGCCAAGTGGCCCCTGTGTTGGTGGCAACACTACCGGGGTCATTCACCTCAGCTTGCTCCAGAGCCATTTTAACATGTGGTCTGCCCTCAGTCCCTCTCTCCTCTTGGCATCCTAATTTTCCAAGATCGTTCTCAGACTTAATTCCATCGTTTGCCCTTTTCATGTCCACCTGACTTTGATTTCTCCTGTGGCTTTTTGTTCTTTTTAATATGCAGTTAAATAAAAGACCTCTTTTCTGCCCTTACCATTTCCCCCAATTTCTTTCCTCTATTTTTAGCCTTTTCAAACTTTACTTTCCCCTCCTGTTTTAATCATATAATCTTTCCTGGAATAGGGCTTCACAGAGCATAGATTCAAAACTTCATAGGACTTGTGATGACTGAGGAATAAAGGATACCTTGATTAACACTCCAGGAGGCCCTGATCTCAGAGGAAACATTCTTTTCTGGGAACGAATCAATAGATTTCTATGAGCAGCTTTATTTATTTATTTATCTATCATATTTGTATCCCGCCCATCCTGTGAGCGGGCTCAGGGCGGGTCACATCATCTCAACTAATACAATAAGGTTTAAAACACAATAAAACATTACATTATAAACATTTAAAATCAGTAGTTATAGCTGCTGGTACAAATTCTGGCCAGATGCATTTTCCTTTATGGGGACCAACAGCCAGGGTGAAGATGACCATTTACCCACCTGCCAGGAAAGGGCAAGACAGGTGGCTATTTGGATGTTTGAGCCATAAAAGGTTTGGAGGCGTGTGGTTCATTATGATGAGAGAAAAGGTGCAAGACAGCACATACTCCAATCCAGTTTCAGGATAGGTCAAAGAGAAACCCTCCCAGTTGCGACAGGGAGGGTTAAGTCTGGATACACTGAGGGGCGCAGAAGCCAAGAACTAGGGAATGGGGGAGAAGGGGAGGAAAGCCTGTCTTGGACAGCTCTTCTTTTCAAAGTTCCAGTGGGCCTGTACTCATTCCGTGGAAGGGAACACTAGCAACGGCCAACTTAAGTCTCATGTTTTTATCTGTTTTCTTAGCTCTATAATACCCTGTAGTGTTTTGATATAGTGTTCAACATGATCTTGTGTTTTAGTGAACTGAGCTTTTAAAATTGTAAATAAATATCTTTTTTTTCCCTTTAAAGATCTCAGGCAGTCCAAAAGGGTTTGCCCAGGGCCCCTGGCAGCTTGGCCACACATAGACCAGAAACATTTGACCGGGGTACAGACAGCTGGCCAGGAAGAAGGGGGCACAAAGCAGCCCACACATACACAGCTCCTATCAGCACCTCAAGCCATGGACAGCAAAAGAAAGGGTAGAGCTTGAGCAGTGGTCACGATCAGAATAAGGCAAGAGACAGGGAGGCAAGTAGGGCAAATCTTCTCACCCGCTGCCTTTCATATACTCTTGAGCAAGGAAGGGGAACTGAGGATTAGGTTATTACAGGGCTCAGCCAGCCAGTGTGGTATTCTGGTTAAACAGTCAGACTAGGAAATGAGACACCCAGGTTCAAACCCATACTGTACCCTGAAGCTTTCTGGGTGACCTTGGGCCAGCTGCACTCTTTCACATAGCCCACCTAAGGTCAGAATGATGTACACCATCCTGAGGTCCTTGGAAGACAAGTGGGGGAAACATACTACAATAATAAACCATGGAGCGCGTGTTGTAATAGCAGCAGGAACAGCTATGAACACAGGCCAAGTATTCACTGTGGAATAATCACAACCAGCAGCCAATTATTGGAAAGAGGTCCTCAATGAAGCTATACATCCAAGTAGCCATGAGCACTGGTACCTCCTAGTTAAGCTCTTCCTGAAAGAAAGCCAGAAGCTGAAGGGTGGGGAAGGGGAGCCTTCTGAAGGTGCCCCTCTGCAGTTGGGTAAGAAGTGTGCAGGCACATGAAAACTTATACCTAGAATTAAATGTTGTTGGTCTTAAGGGTGCCACTGGACTCCAACTTTGTTCTGTTGCTTCAGACCAGCAAGGCTACCCACCTGAATCTACCGACCATACTCTGTTGTGGATCCCATCTTGTGGAATGGCCTGCCTGAATTTATAGAACAGAATTGTTCAGGAGGGCTTTTTTAAAGGGAATAGGATCACATTTAGTGTCTGCGGAATTTTAGGTTGCTTTTGTTACTTTCTGTTTTGTACTGCACTGATTCACTAATTTTGTAAAGCAGTTTTGTGGCATTGTTGTATGCAATGCTCCCTCTAAGCCGTGGAGTCTTGTGAGCAAAAGTTCTACTTTGTGAGCTACTGGCGTTAAAGTTGTGAATGAGCAATTTGGCTACTGCATAAATTAGTTTGCTCTAGAGCCATCCTCCCTGAGCGAAGACAAAAATCTGTGAGCTGGAGGCTAAAAAACTGTGAGCTAGCTCACGTGAACTCATCTTAGAGGGAACATTGGTTGTATGTATTATACTGTATTTAGTGCACTCTCTAATTTTTATAATCCCATTTTAATGGATTCTTGGTTGTATGCATGGTACTGGTTTTTGCACTGTTTTTAAAGTGTGCAGTTCCCGAGTCTCAGTGAGAAAGACATACTCTAAATGAAGTAAATAAACTTCTATATTGATGGCCCACTGACATCTGACCTCTCTCCTTCCTTCCAGTCTGGTTTCTTTAAAGTCTCACCGATACTTTCACAAAATATTTCGTACCCCCTCTGTATCTTTCCATTCTAGCCACTTCTCAAGATTCTGGCCAATAAGAACACTTTGACAGGCAGAGATTAAGCCAAAGGAAAAACAAACTGCACCGAGAATATTCCATACTCCTTAATTCTTTTCTGCAGTCCAAACATCATATGTCGATTAGCATTGTGGGGAACACAGCCCACATCCTCGCAACCCCAATCTATGAGATGGGGGGGGGAAGGAAATTTCTCATTTTCGTTATTTCTGACCAGATCTATTAACTGGTTGCTATGAAGAGCAGCAGCCAATTTTGTTTCTCCCCCCCCGCCCCCACTCTGTGCTTGCTTTATATTCTCTACCAACCGCCAGTAAAATATGCTACATGACCTTCTATAAAGGCGCAGAGACGTGCCTGCTATTTAAGACCAAAGCCAGAAAACACAGCCAAACAACACAAAGAACAAACATACATTTCAGTTCATTTCACTGGTTTACGTATGCTTTAAATGGCTTTTCTGTATGTGTTGATGTGTTAAGACAAAACTCAAGTTAAGCAAGTTAAAGTCATGTCAAGTTAAATCGCAAGGCTTCAGACAACAGTATGAGCCTCGGCTCTGTTCTGAATGCAATGACATCTTGATATAGCTTCCAAAGGGAAACCATCATCTGGCACTCAGGGCCCGAAAGTTGCTGCTCACTCCGCTGTTCAGCACACATAAGCTGCCCCCCCCCCCAATATCAGCTTCACTCAGACTCTGGAAACATCACCTACCTTATGATCGTTGAGAAAACAGGGACTGTGTTACAGCCTGTGCCTGAACAGACACTGTATATATGAACCTCATTGCTCCTATTGCCAGAGTCACTTGGAAACTCGAAGGCACCCGTCTTCTGCTCTTCGACATTCAGCAAATCAGGCCCAACACAGTTGCAAGCGTTATCTGTAAACAGCTTCCTGTTTGAAACAGCTCAGCTGTCCAGGAGGACAGTAATTAGGAGCAAAATGTGTGGGAACGCGACAGAGGCCCATGATGTAAGCTGCTTCTTTTGGCCATGCACTTTTTTGGAAAGGCAAAAATGCCTCTCTGTTCACAACTCCACTTCCCATGAAAAGAAACCCTTTCAGGCCAGCCCTCATGCAGTAATGTAAACAGGATCCCACTGGAGCAAAGGTTCTGTTATTTCACTTTTATTTTGAGCCACTCAAAAATATGTCGCAGCTAGAGTTCTCAAGCTTGAGAATCATTCTATAAGAGAATGAGGTCAGATTCACCCTACTAACTTTTGCGTATAGGTGGAGGTTCCTACCTGCATTAAAAAAAAATTAATTTGCATTTAAAAAAATAATTTCCCCTCATGTAGAAAGTTAGCATAGGTTCTTATAACCCTGTCATGTTATTGTAAGGTGTGCAGGGAGTTGTTCTGATTTTGTTTACCGGGGGCAACACTAAAACAGCATGACCCCTCCATTTGCAATTTGAAATTGTATCATCCAACCTTCTTGGTCTATCATTTAATTCTATATAAAGTGGCTTCCCTCTCGTCTTCACAGGAGAGACAGATGCAAATGTACTCTGTCCTTTTCCCCACACAGTTCTCACAGACCTACCCATGGGAGGGTGGTCACATACACCCCACCCATTCCTCTCCAGAGGTGCTGAACTCATTTGTTACGAGGGCCGGATCTGGGCCATGTGTGTCATAAAATAAAGGATACAGGCAAACCCAAGATGGGTGGCCGTGTTAGTCTGTCTGTAGCAGTAGAAAAGAGCAAGAGTCCAGTAGCACCTTAAAGACTAACAAAATAAAAACTAAAAAACAGTGAACTCATGAAAGCTCATACCCTACCACATATTTTGGTGTAGGAGAGCCAGTTTGGTGTCGTGGTTAAGTGTGCGGACTCTAATCTGGGAGAATTGGGTTTGATTCCCCACTTCTCAACTTGCAGCTGCTGGATGACCTTGGGCAAGCCATAGTTCTGTCCAGGGCTTTTTTTGGAGAAAAAGCCCAGCAGGAACTCATTAGCATAATAGGCCACACCCAACAGCAGAAACTCATTAGCATATTAGGCCACACCCCTGACAGCACAGCTCATTAGCACATTAGGCCACACCCCCATGTTACCAGAAGTGTGCTCATCCAGCCACACCCACCTTTTGCTTCTTACTCTGTTTACCTTGCTTGTTGTCAAAACCCAGGGCTTTTTTGCAGCAGGAACTCCTTTGCATGTTAGGCCACACACCCCTAATGTAGCCAATGAGTTCCTGCTGTTGGGTGTGGCCTATTATGCTAATGAGTTCCTGCTGTTGGGTGTGGCCTATTATGCTAATGAGTTCCTGCTGGGCGTGGCCATCTTCGGAGCCAGCCGGAATTCCGTTCCTGTGCGTTCCTGCCCCAAAATAGCCCTGGTTCTGTCAGAGCTGTTCTCTCAGCCCCACTTACCTCACAAGGTGTTTGTTGTGGGGAGAAGGGAAAGGGATTTGTAAGCCGCTCTGAGACTCCAAATGAAGGGTGGGATATAAATCCAATCTCTTCTTGTTCTTCTTTTTGTTAGTCTTTAAGGTGCTACTGGACTCTTGCTCTTTTCTAC